ACACACACACACTGCCGTTGAAAAGATTTTTAATGTAATTTATTTCAGTGATGCAAATCAGAATTTTCATCAGCCTTTACGCCAGTCTTCAGTGTCACATAATCCTTCAGAAATCATTCCAATATGTTGATTTATTATCAATGCTGTTCTTTTTAGCTTTCTGTTCATAAAAGAATCCTGAACAAAATGCCACAGGTTCCAAAAAATATTTCCAAAACTGTTTCCAACACTGGTAATAAATCAATATATTAGAATGATTTCTGAAGGATCATATGAATCTGAAAACTGGAGTAACAGCTGATAAAAATTCTGATTTGCATCACTGAATTAAACTATATTTTAAATTATATTAATTATGTATTGTATATGTATAACTATATGTATATAACCTCTGACGCGGAGAACAGTGAAAACTCCTCACATGACCGCTACTGAACATCTGAACATAACGAAACAAATGCACATTGACGGATCTTCTTCCGTCTGTTCTGCAAAATGTAAACAAATGTATATTTCTGTAAGCGTAAATATTGTGAAAATATCCATATTAATTGTGTCTAGGCAAAGGCATTCCTCCTGGAACAGAGCTAACGCAGGTTTGGCGGGTGTTCATTTCATACTTTGTGACAGCTTATTTAATGTATAAATTATACATTGTATTTAATGTATAAGGTACATGTACAACAAACTGGTAATGTCAGTGGTATCGTGTACTGTAGTCGAATGTAGTCTATACTGTATGTAGTGGAACCGTAGACAGCACATGCAGTGTTCATCTAACAAAGATCTTCATAGCTAGCAAACAATAGCCTTTGCAGATTTGCTTTCAATTGACTGTAGATCCAAAGCCACGTCTTCAACGCTCTTGATGTTTTTAAACTTTATGTTACAACTCTGAGTGAGAACTGCTTCAGACCACTCAGTGCGTGTGTCAGGGAACTGAACGAATCATTCAAACTGATTCGCAAACCAATTCACTGGTTTGCCAACTGGTTTGATCAAGCCTTTGAACAGAATTGACAAAAAAAATTAATCATTCGCGAATGGGCATCGCTCATTGCCCAGAGAAAAGTAGACGGCACGTTTGGAATAAATTGAAGCATTTTTAACTTGAATTGCATTAAGATAAAGTAACGAGAGGAGCGTCGCCCACAGTAACGAAGTAAAAGTACCGTTTTTTCACAAAAAATGTACTTGAGTAATCTTTAAATATACTCTAAAAGTATTAGTTACCCAAAAAATTTACTCAAGTAAATTTAACGAAGTAAATGTAACTCGTTACTTCCCCCACTTTCAAACTGCAAAGAGTCCAATAAATTCATTGCTTAGCTTGTGCTTGGGTGGCAAATGACAATTTCTAAAGCACTGTCTGAGAGAGAAAAGTAGTGCTCATACAAACACACACGGAGAGGTTTTTTTTGTTCATGTCACGGAAATAAACTCTCACCCTAAAATCTCATAGAACATTCATGTTCTTCACTCTCTGCAGGCTGTGGGGCTGCAGTATTGGAGATGAAGGCTGTGTTGCTCTGATTTCAGCTCTGAAATCAAACCCCTCACACCTGACAGAACTGAATCTGAACTTTAATAAACCAGGAAACTCAGGAGTGAAGCTGCTCTCTGCTGTACTGGAGGATCCACACTATAAACTGGAGAAACTACAGTGAGTGTCATCACATCTTAGTAACTATGAGGTTTCGAATAAAAGTGAAATTACACAGATGTGTTTTCATAATATATGAGGGGATGAAAAGCAACAGGAAGATGACTCAATGAAAGAAACAGCGTATATAGCAGGTGAAAATTAGGCAGGTATGACGATGAACCAAGGAAACATACTCGGTTACTAACAAAACCTCGGTTCCCTGAGATACGGGAATGAGTACTGCGTCTTGCTTAAGACGCTATGGGGGAAGCTCCTTTTTCTCTGAATACTGAAGCCTTTCAATAACGCAGTGTAACTGCACGGCCATTGGTTCGTGCAGTGTATTAAAAACGAACCAATGGCTTAGCAGCGGAGCTGCACAAGCCTATGGCGACACAGCCCACCAGAGCCCGCCAAAATGGGTGGGGCATCTGGCTATATAAGCGGGCACTTCGCCATAGGATCCTCAGGTTACTTCGACTGAAACGATGACTGAGTCGTGCAGCTACATAGCACGGCCTGCAACGCAGTACTCGTTCCCATATCTCAGGGAACCGAGGTTACGTTAGTAACTGAGTACGTTCCCTATCGATACTTCACTGCTTGCTTGCTTCTTGCTTAAGACGCTATGGGGAACCAGTACAATCCCGCCGTGCTATGCTAGAGAAACGACTAATGCTTGAACTTGCCTTGAACACCAATGGGGCCTAGAGCGACCAAGTATTTTGCAGGGAAGCCCCGCAGGAGGCGATAGGGCCAAACTCACAGAGGTCGGCCCGGCGCTGAGTAATCGTTCAAAGATAAATTGTACAGCCTCGGAACCTAGTGGGGGCCAAGAGCGTACAGTGAAGAAGGCAAACGTCTGAAGCACTGGTTTTGTCATAAGGCAGTGCAAAGAGTAAGTCCGTTTAAGCAAAAAGGACCCGAGTCTGTAAGGCCGGGACATCCAGATTATAAAACCTGGTAAATGTGGACGGCGAGGCCAAGCCGGCCTCCGCACAAATTTCTGCAATGGACACTCCGCTAGACCAAGCCCAGGAAGAGGCAACGCCTCTTGTTGAGTGAGCTCTTACTCCCATGGGGCATTGTAGGCCCAAAGAAGAGTACACTAGCTTTATAGCGTCAATTATCCATTTGGAAAGTCACTGCTTTGTGACCGGAGACCCTCTGGTGCGGCCACCGAAGCATACAAAAAGCTGATCCGACTGCTTGAACGGGGCGGAACGCTCAATATATATTCTCAATGCCCTGACGAGGCAAGGTCCTGCTCCGAAGGAGGAAGCGCCGAAAGAGCTATTACCTGCGCTCTGAACGGAGTCGAGAGCACTTTAGGTACATAACCATGCCTTGGCTTCAGGACAACCTTGGAGTCGTTGGGCCCGGATTCGAGGCAGGTGGGGCTCACGAGAGCACCTGCAGATCTCCCATACGCTTTACCGATGCTAAAGCCAGTAGCAGAGCGGTCTTTAGCATCAGGGGACGAAGGTCAACGGGCTGTAGCGGCTCGAAAGGAGGGCTCTCCAGAGCCCTCAACACCGTGGGCAGGTCCCATGTAGGGACGGTGACAGGTCGAGGCGGGTTGAGCCTCCTAGACCCTTTTCTGGATCTGCCGCCTGGAGTTGATTTTGATATTCTAGGTATTATCATTTCATTGTCATTTCATTATCATTGCCAGAGTTTTGAGAACGCAGCAGACGTGGAGGACTATAATGTAACAAGAGCTCGTTCAAATACTGAGGTGCTAAACCATTCAGGGCTTTATAAGTAATAAGCAAGATTTTAAAATCTATACGATGTTTAATAGGTAGCCAGTGCAGTGTTGACAGAACCTAATATGGTCACACTTCCTGGTTCTAGTAAGAACTCTAGCTGCTGCATTTGGGACCAGCTGGAGTTTGTTTATTAAGCATGCAGAACAACCACCCAATAAAGCATTACAATAATCTAACCTTGAGGTCATAAACGCATGGATTAACATTTCTGCATTTGACATTGAGAGAATAGGTCGTAATTTAGATTTGGATTATGGTGGCTGGTGTCTCTATTTTCACGTTCCGTACAATAGAATCGCCAATAACTAGAGCACTTTGATCAGGTTTCTCAGTGGGTGAATCACTGAGTGGGGAGAACCTGTTTAATGTTTTGATCGGAACGGAAGAGCTGTGTTTTGACCCGCGACTAGGCACTGTAACCGAAACTGAACAATGTATAGGACTCCCTGAACTAGTCGCATCCAAAGCCGTATCTAGAGCCCTCACATTCTTACTATCCTCAATTAAAGTTTGGATGCGTGTCTCTAATTCTGAAATCTTCCCTGCATTTATCACATGTGAATCCCTCGTCGCCGACAGAGAGAGCTAAACTATACATGTGGCAAGCAGAGCAAACAACAATAGCAGGAGAAGAAGCCACTGGGCACACTTGCGAGAGGATCTGCTTCAATGTAATCATCCTGAACGGCCGTCTCATGAGGGTGCGGTTCAGGTGCCTAAGATCGAGGATGGGCCTTAGGCCGCCATCCTTTTTGCGGACGAGGAAGTATCGGCTGTAGAAGCCTGACTCACTCCGAGCTGGGGGAACCGTTTCTGTGGCTCCTTTCGCCAGCAAATTCATTACCTCGGTGCGCAGGATGTGTGCGTCCTTGCTCTGAACCAAGGTGGAGACCACGCCACTGAATCGCGGGGGTCTTCGAGCGAATTGAAGTGAATAGCCTCATTCTATTATCCCCACTTTGACACTCCGGGGATGGCCTGCCAGACCTCGGCCCACGTGGCAAGGGATTGGGTTGGTTGAGCAGGGACCCAATGCTCGTGATAAGCAGAAAAGGAATTTTGCTCTCTTTTTGAAAATGTTTGTGTTTTATTTTTCTCGCTATAACAGCGATCGGTTGTGTGGGCGCTAACTGAACGGGCCCAGGGTTCACAACAGTATCTACCACAAACACATTGCCGTCGGCACCCGGAAGTGAACGGGGTGCTTGGAGGCACAAAAGAGGCTGCTTGGGGGGTGCTCCGGCAATAGCGAGTCCTTGCCCCTTCCTCTTCCAGGCGCCGGGTCCAGCACTTCTTTGGGCCGGGGTCCTTGGCGCTTAGGGAATGGGTAGCATCTAGCCGAGTTGGAGCGATGTCGGGGCTCAGGCTTAGAGGCCGGCAGTGCAGCCGATGAAGCGGGCTTCGCAGGCTGGTGAATCAGCGCCGTCTTGGGGCGACTGGCAGCAGCTGCAGAACTGGAGCGCTTTGGCAAGAAGTGTCGCATTGCCTGGGATGACTTCTGCGCAGCGGTGAAGCGCTCAGCCAACTCTTCAACCGCAGGTCCAAACAGGCCAGAGGGGGAGACCGGGGAGTCGAGGAAGGGGAACTTACCCGCATCCTTGATCTCCGTGAGGGTCAACCATAGGTTGCGCTCGAGCACCACAAGGCTGGCCATGGATCTGCCGATCACCTTAGCCGATCCCCT